CACCGCAGCTGACCGCGTGTCCCTGTCTCGTAGCTTCCTCATCGTCCTGGTCTGCCTCATCTTCAGCGTGCTGTCCACCATCGAGCAGTACGTCGCCCTGGCCACAGGCACTCTCTTCTGGATGGTACGTATGGGTGGCTGTCACGGGCGGGTGGGCGTGGGGCCGAGTGAGCTGCTCCTGGCTACTCCGGCCCGTGCAGTGGCCCCGACTGGCTTCTTGTCCTGCCAGCCGGCAGCCGTGGACTCGCCCTGGTACTGGGGGACCGGAAGCGTGGGGACTCCCAGCTCTCATACTTGCCAGGCTGTGACTAGCGGACTAAGGGGCCCAAGAAATGTGAGGAGCCTGAGGCTGGTGGTCTGGGAGGTCCCCCTGGAGGAGGGGGCTTCTGAGCTGGGCCAGGAAGGAGGGATGGAGGCACGGGGAGCCGGGTTCGGTCAAGGAGCCTCATTGGGGCCCAGGGTCTGGGGGCTGCTGACCTGGGCTTGGCTGGTACAGGCCCCAGCAGGTGTCCCAGGCTCCCCACCTCGAGCCCCGCACCAGACAGCCCCCCGCACTGCCTATGGGGCTCTCACCCTCGTGTCTGGGTCTCGGCCCCAAGGAGATGGGGGGCCGTGAGCACAGAAGGCGTGTCCCACACGGGAACCCGGCCCCTCCCGCTCCCAGCCTGTCTGAGCCCCTCACTCTGAGTGGGGTGTGAGGGCTCTTCGCCCCGGCCAGATGTGAGCCCCTCAGACCGGGCCTGGGATGGGCCCCCCGCAACCCCCGGCCCTCCTGGACATGGGGAGGGGGCCAGGCCAGGAGCCCGCAGCCTGCGGTTTATGCTGGGCAAGTTCCGGAAGTTCATGCCCTCACCGAGGGGACATCTGCGCATGAGCCTGGCCGAGAAGGTGGGGTGCAGAGGCCAGCCACGTCCCCAGGAGGCCGCCCGAGTGCCGATGGCCGGTGGCAGGGATGACGTCCCTGCCTGCACCGCCTCGGGCCCCCACAGGGCCGGCCGGGGCTGCTGTCATGCTGCGCACGCGTGTCTCCCGGCCAGGCGGCCTGGTCGGCGGGGCCCCCGGCCGTGTGACGGGCCCCTGCAGCGGCTCCCGGGTCATTTCCACACAGGGGACCTTACCTTTCCTCCCGTGCTCCCGGAGTCGGCGTCACGGCAAAGTCTCCCCCGGAGGCTGTAAAGGAACCAGCTGGATTTCTCCCCGTGTTTGTGCGGGACAATCTTGCGGTTTTACATGGCCAACGACAGTCGGGACGTCCCGGCGTGTGGTGTGGGGGACAGACCCCTTCGTGCCACGCCCCCCTGGCCTTCCCGTCACCCCGTGCCACGCGTTCAAGCATCTGTCTTTTGTCCCCAACAGAGGCGTTTTACCATGAGCCAGGTGTCCCGATGCAAATGGGTCCCCCCGAGGGTTCCCGTCCTGGTCCGCTGGTCCGAGGGACGTCACCTCCCAGCGTCCCTTGCTTGGACGACGCGTGTGCCGCATTCTGCGTCCCACATCTGCGTGGCTCTTTGGGGGGTCCCCAGCCAGCTCTCGCCAGCGGGCTCTTCCCGGGGACCTTCACAGCCAATTCGTTTGCTTCCCGAAAAATCCCGATGGTGTTTGCTGAGCGAACCGGGGAGACGGACGCTGTTCTGGCGCGGGGACTTGCCGTCCGCAGTCGTGGCGTCGTCTGTCTGGGGGCTCCGTGGTTTCCGGTGTGGCTCTTGGGCGGTCGTCTGTTTACCTCTAACCACAGTGACGTCGCCGGAGTCGTCACCGCCCGTCGTAGGCACCCACGGGCCGGCTCGTCCGTTCTGGTTTCTGGAGTTTTGTGTTTTTGTTTTTGCTTTTTTGGGTTTCGTTTTGCCGGCTGTGAAAGCCGTTGGTTTTTGTTGCTGGACCGTCGTGTGACTCGAGAGCGTCCGTTCCTGTCCGCGGTCTCCCCTCCGGCCCCGGCGCGGTTCCCGGGGAGCAGGGCCACAGTGCGGTCCGCGTGCCGGACGCTGTGGGGACGCTGTGGGGACGCTGTGGGGACGCTGGCGTCCGTCGCTCGCCGGGGCTTTGTCAGGCGGGCGAGTCCTCGGGCCTCTCCTGGAGGAACGTGCCGGCCTCGGGGTGGAGGGCCCCGGAGTCCGACGTGAGCACGCGAGTCTCAGGTGACGGCGTGGACTCTAGTCACGTCTTCCCGCGTCCGTGGGGACGGTCGTGTTGGCGGGTGTCCCAGCGCTTCCCCCGGATGAGCCCCCGGCCCCTAGGGCCCCACGATGCTGTCTTCACCATCCTGCTAGGTCATGGCTGCCAAGTAAAAGTAGGGACAGGTGCAATGGAGAAGGAGGATGGCCACCTCCCCAGCTCGAGGGGCAAACTTTCGGGGTCCAGCCTCCTCCCTGTTCCCCATCCCTGGGGACCCGTGGAAGTAGCCGTGGCAGTGCCAGCCCCGTCCGTGTGGAGGCCCCGGCGGCCGCAGCTGCCCACAGTCCGGCCGAGCACGTCCACCCTGCGAGCCACCCCCAGGCCCTCTTCTCCTAGCCCAGGGGACTGGTCCAGGCGGAGACCCTGCCAGCTGGGCCGACTCCATGGCCACCCTCGGCAGACCCCGCCCTGCCCACTGGCTGGCATCTGCCCCCTACTGAGTGTAAATGTAAGGCTGACCCCCACCCCTGGGCCAGGGAGAGGACCGGGACCCGGGACCAGGGCCTGGTCAGCATCTTACCCCTGTGAGTGTCCTGGGGCCACTGTAACAAAGCACGGCAGACGGCGGCTTGAACCACAGACACTGTCCCCAGTGTGGAGGCCGGAGCCCGAGCTCCAGGTGTGGGCGGGCGGTTCCCCCCGAGGCCTCACTCCTGGGCGCGTGGACGGCGTCTCCTCCCCGTGTCCCCACGTGGTCGTTCCTCTGTGCGTGTCTGTGTCCCTGACTCCTCTTCTTGTGAGGACACAGTCACGGTGGGTCAGGGTCCACCCAGGGACCCCGTTTTAAAGGCTCAATCTTCACATACACCACATTCTGGCAAGCTGGGGGTGGGGACTGCACGGTACAAGTTTGGGGGGACACAGTTCAGCCCATAAGTCCCCCTGAGTGACTTGAGCCATCCCTCTGCTGCTGGGAGGCTCACCCTTGGGTGAGCCCCACGTTGACGTGATCACACCAGGCGTCCCCCACTCAGCCCCTGCATCTGGTAGGCTGTGAGCACCGAGTCCTCAGCCCCCGTGGTGACTTCTACTGCCTTGTGCAGCTCAGGCAGGGCCCTGGGGGCCGCTGGGTGGGTGATGGAGCGGAATGGAGCCTGCAGGGGCCACAGAGGCCGCAGAGGCCGCCGAGGGCCGCAGAGGGCCACCGAGGGCCACCCTCACAGACGTGCCTGCATACTTCCTTATGAGCTTGTTACCTGCCACTGTGTGCTCGGCCGGAGGGATCCCAGGCCCTGTGACCCCGTGACAGCCCTGGGGAGGGGGCAGCCCCTGGCTGCGCGGTATCCCCTCGTCTGGCCTGGCCTCACTCCCCACGGGGACCCACCTGGACCACCTCCCTCCCCAGGCTGTGCTTGTCATGTCTACACTGGGCTCCCTGTCACAAACTTCATGGTAGGTCCCTCCCAGAGCTGGGGCAGGTGGCCCAGGGCTCCTGTCCCCTCGACCAGAACCCCCACCCCTCCGCCCGACGTGGCAGGGCCCGCCCACCGCCCCCTGACCCTGTCTTCCCTCCCGAGGGCCCCCTCCTCCTCCCTCGGCTGTCCCGGCATCTCTGAGGCCCGAGTGCCACCTGGTGGCTATTCTCCAAACTGCGGCCACAGGGCCCGCAGCTCAGGCCGGGGCCTCAGCATGGCCTGGGGCGGGCAGAGGGTGACCCGCGTGGCACGCCCTCCCTCCGGGGCCTGGGATGGGTGCGAACAGCGCCCCTGTCCTGAGCAGAGAGCCCGTTCCCGCTGTGGCCCCCTTCCCTTCCCCGCCTTTGAGGGCAGAGACCGGCGCTGCCTCCCTTGCCCCCCGTTCCGTCACGTCGGCCACCTCCCTGCCACCCTCGCGACCCCCGGGCACCCTCTCCACATGGCAGCTGTCAGTCTGGGGGGGGCGCGGAGCTCTCTAGAAGAAGTCTGATCGTTCCAGAAGCTCCCCAGGGCCCTGAGGGTACACTCAGCCTCTCCGGCCCCCGTGCCACATCTAGGCCCCACCCCTGCGTGTCCCCCCGACCCTCACCTCCGCCCCCCGCTCCACCCTGGGCCGCCCCAGCCGCCTCTGGCCTTTGCACGTGCTCGGCTCCTACGAGACCTGCTCCTGTCCGCTTTGGGGCCTTCGCTCGGCCGTCACTGCCTGCGCGTAGCCCCCCTGACCTGCCGTCTTCGGGACCCCCCATCCTCCTCCCTTTCGTTGTCTCTGCTCCTCTTGGTGGCTTTGTGCCGGGGGGCTCTGCGGGTGGATTCACAGCCTCGCGCCTCCTCACTCCATCCTGTCTCATCCCGCACCCCCTGAGCTCAGCCCTGAGGCCGCGCCCACACGGCTAGCACGGTGCTGCCGGGGTTCGGACCCCTGTCCTTGGAGCCCATGTGCCCAGAGCCGCCTCCGTGGGACCCCCCAAGGTGCTGTATTGTCCTGGGCCCGAGTGCTCCCACCTGTGAAATGGAGGGGGTGGGCGGACGGCCTGGGACTCACCCTCCCAAAGGCCCTGCTGGGCTCCCGAGGGCTCCCCACTCACCGGCCAAGTGGGGGCCGCCCTGCGAGGTGGGCCTCAGCTGGCCACGTCTGGCCACCTCTCTGTCATGGCCGCAGGGGTGGGGACGTCGGGGACACAGTGGGAAGGAGGCAGCCAGGGCCCAGCACACAGGGTGGATGTGAGCTACGTCGGGCCTGGCTGTGAGGGGGGTGCAAGGTAAGAGGAACCGGGGTGCAGGGGGAGAGTGTCGGCAGGGACGTTGAGGGCTCTGCCCACAGGAGGGGCCGCCCTGAGACGGGAGGGGGAAGGAGGACGTGAGCAGGGGGCTGGGGGCCGGCGGCGCAGGCCAGGACCCCTCCCACAGCTCACAGCCTCCAGCGTGGCCTGGGGCTCTCAGTGCCGGCAGAACTCGGGGGGCTTCCTGAGGAGGCCACGGCCTGCGGGAGTGGCGTGACAGGCCGAGGGGACCCGGCGTGGGGAGGGGGCTTAGGCAG